AATAATTTAATAATTATTTTTTAATAAAAAATTATTAAATTTAAATTATATAATATGATATATACATAAAATAAAATAAAAAATGAGAGGTTACTTCTCATTACATGAATAAGATACAAAAAATATAAAAATATATATACGAAAATGAGGGGAAATTTTTCATAGCAAAACCAAATATGAATTAGGCCCCTTACCATAATTTTACTTTTTCAACTGTAGCGTTGAGTCTTTCGGGGGAAAGGAAAAAAATTAGAAAAAGTGTTGGGTCTTCTTCACCAAGTCACCGACTACCAGGCTTCTCTCTGGAGAGAAAGTCTCTTCCGGATCTAAAATTTCATCCCCCGCATTCCCGGAAATTTTTCTCCTCCCAATATTCCTTGTCTCCTGGTTCCCGCCATTTTTGTTTGCGGACACTTTGCAATTGCTTCTGTTCCCCTTCGCGCACAAATTCCTTTTCCTACTCCGGCGTAACGAATCTCATTTTTCCCTACCTTTAATTTCGTCCGTCTTTTCTCACCGCATCAATTGGCCTTTGGAATTGGGTACAATCGTTATTAACATGGACGATTTTGGTGTTTTGACGGAGCAGTATGGTTTGAAGCCGCAAGGGAAATCGGCTCCGATGGCCGCATCGAAACGACCCACCACCGCTAACAGCAATGCCCCAACTCGGAATTTTGGGTTTGATTCGGGTTTGGGTCAAAAACCCACCTCATACTCCTCAAAATCTTCTTGGAATTCGGCTCCTGTTAATGATAACGATGATAACGACATTTTCTTCCAATCGATACCCAAGCAAAAACCCCAGAATTCTTTTGGTCTTGGGGAGGATTTGGGTGACATTTTTGGTGGATTCCAGAAGTCCACAAAGCAATCGGGTTCAAGTAATCATGGTAATGGTGGATCTTCCTTTGATTATGATTCCATTTTTTCAAATTCGGGTGGAAAATCTTCGTCAATGAATTTGTATGATGATGATGTGTTTGGAGGAATGCCTGGATTGAAGAGTTCCCAGAATGCCAATCATGATGATATTTTTGCCTCCTTCACCTCATCCAAGAATCAAAATGCTGCGACAGATGATTTGTTGGGGGATTTTGGAGGAATGGGTGTGAAATCGAAGAGTTCCAGCAGGAATGGATCTTGGGAGGCGGGGCAAAATGAGGCTGGTTTCGATGATTTGATACCTGGGTTTGGTGGAAGCAGCCCTCCAAATAATGGGTATGTATTTATTGGTTACATACTATGTTTTTTCCAATCATGATGATTTTGTACAGTGTTTGTTTTCTTAACCATAATAATGTTCTAGCTGCATAGTTCAATGAAGATTGTTATGGATTTGGTACTAGGAAAATCACGTTAACTTCTATATTAAATAGTTTGTATGCAGCGTGTTCAATAAAAAAAAAAAGTTAGTGGATGCTCCAAAAATGTGGATGAATAATAATGACATTTAAGAAATGTTCTCACAGAATTTGGGTGATAGTTCTGTTTATAGTGTTAAAATGATTCTGTTGACATACTGAAATGAGTTCATGCAGTGTTTTTATATTGGTCAGAGTTTTTTGGGTTGGGAGAATAGCTTGGGTGAAGTAAGTAATAAAATATAAGTTGATGAACGTGAGATTCATAACCATGGTTAGCTTGGTGTTTGCCCAAAAAGTGTTCAACGGGGATCATTATGAGTCCCCAACTAGCGTTATGAGATGCAAGGTTTCAGATTTAGTGTTTGTCCATCAAGATTGCTGAAGGGTAGGGTATGAGAAAAACTTATGTTAAATGGTGCAAAAGCATTTGTGATGTGCTTGTTTGTCTATTGATGTTTTGACAAAGTTGATTCTTTTGTATCTTTTGTTAATATTTTATAATCAACCCACGGTTCTAACTTTCTAGTTTTGTATGCAGTAAAAATATTAAAACAACTGAGTCAACATTCAAATCAGTAGATGATCCTTTTCTAGTATTTGAGTCAGCTTCAAACCCAGCATATGCTTCCTCCGAGCCCCCAGCAGACCCACTGGATGTGTTCAGTAATCTCAATAAACATGGGGGCACAAAACCTAGTGGTTCTTCAAATTCTTCCTCACTGTTAAGGCCTCCTCCAAAACCTGGACAAGTTTTGAGGCCAGATAAAGGTTCTGCTTTCTGTGGCTAAAAAGAAAGTCAATTGGTATTTCCTTTTTTAATGGTTTCATTAACTAGCTTTATAACAGTAATATGTTTCATGATGCAGTTAAGAGTTCAGGTGCATCTTCAATAGATGAACTTGAGGACTTTGCCATGGGTAGGATGCATAATAAGGCTAGTAGATACAAGGAAGCTGAAGATGCTGCCCAAAAGACTCAACAGAAGGGTGAAGATGATCTAGAATCCTTTTTTGGTACAAGTTACCGGTCAAATAGTGTACCAAAATCTAGGGCAACAACTTTGGTAAGTATCCAGATATGAAAAGCATAACTAATTTTGTGACAACAGTGAATGATGTTAATTATTTCCCTGTGCTCTTATCAGGATCCCATATTTGAAGCAAAAGTACAGAACAGAGAGCAGAAGGCATCTACCAAGGTATCATCCAGCACAAAAAAGGCATCTACTGCCCCTATGACAAATATGGTAGATGACCTGTCTTCAATTTTTGGAGGTAAATTGTCTCTGAATTAACTTTTTCATTCTGTCACTGGGAAATTGCAGCATTTCTGATTCCAATTTTTTCTATTGTTTTTGCTTGCAAAGCTGCCTCAATGTTCGGAGAATTTGAGGAAGTGGAAGGGGAAAGTGAAGAAAGGCGTAGGGCTAGATTGGAACGTCATCATCGGACCCAAGACCGAGTGGTGTGTTGTCTTTCCCTTTTATGTTTATCTTTAATGGACCTTTAATCTTTTATCTCTCTCTCTCTATTTTTTTCTTGAATTGTCATGCCATGTAATGTTTACAAAGTGCATGTGGTAGAAGAGTGAGAAGAAAGAGGTCTGTCCAAAAGAAGTGACATAGAATGGAGTAGGGAAAGAGGCATATCCAAAGGGGGTTAATAATGATAAACTCTTACACTTGCTTATATCTAGTGACTACGCAGTTTACTTTTTGCAAATTTCATTCAGAATATCAGACTCCCTGGCTAGGCTTTGTGATATGAAACTTAATTGAGCTTTATTTGTCCTTGCACCAAATTAATTTGGCTTTACTTAAGCTTGGTACTTGTGTAATGAAATACCTTTACCCTGAATTACTGACCCTGGAGCCTTTAAGGCTTAGCTGCATCATCTGGATATCAGATATGCCGCATGCGAGGGAGCAAAACGTTAGGCAATTTTTATTCTGGCGTTTCTAATACTCTTGAGTATTTGTTTGTCAGGCAAGAGCAGTTTCTGATATGAACCAGCGTGACCTTCAAACACAGTATGAACAAGAAGAGAGGCGTGTAAGTAATTTAGCTGATGCATCAATTGCAAGCTAACTTTACATTGTCTTGTGCTTAATTTACCCATGCATCATGTATTCTTGGATTTTGATGATTAAATCATTTATCTCAATCTTAATTTTCACAGAGAATTGCCGAGACTCTAGATTTTGAGATAAAACGCTGGGCTATGGGGAAGGAAGGAAATATGCGTGCCCTTTTATCTTCATTGCAACAAGTGTGTTTTCTTTACAAAGAAATTATTGTTTTCTTATTTAGTTCATTTACCTTCTATCAATTGATCTGAATTCCATTTTTTGAAATCGTAGTTAAATGTCTAGAACTTGTGGCTCTTTGCTGGCCTAGGAGAATTATATTTTCTGTTTATACAACTAAAACACGTTTACTGGTGGAATGATAAATAGGTGCTCTGGCCAGAATGTGGTTGGGACCCAGTTTCACTTACTGATCTGATTACATCTACTTCTGTTAAAAAAGTCTACAGAAAGGCAACATTATTTGTTCATCCTGATAAGGTTCAACAGAAAGGCGCCACTCTTGAACAGAAATATATAGCGGAGAAGGTTTTCGATATCCTCAAGGTACTCCATGAGTGTTCCAATTTGAGCTTGAATCATGAATTATTTTCTTGAATGAGTAGAAAACATGGAAATATTTTAGGCTACAGATTTGGCATTTCGTTTTTATGTCTAGCATGGCTTGCATATACTTAGCAAGGGATGGCAATGGGGTGGTTTGGGGATGGGGTTTGGCATTTCTGTTCCATTCTTTCCAAGACTCTTGAATAGAACTGTTCGGAGTTGGACATTATGGATGTTGACAGTTGCATGTTGTCATATCCAAGATTCTGCTGTTTTTAGAAGTTTATTGTGTTAACTGAGTTTTCCAAGGTTCTAATTCCTCAATAAAAGAAGGTAATATAAGATGTTTATTCTTTTTATGTTTGATGTTTTGCAAACCATTTAAGATAGTTATTTGGTGTTTTCTTCATAGTCATTTCTTTCATATCCAGGTTTGTTGTCATTTGAAAACAGAGCCCCATTCTTGTTAAATACTAGAATATCTATCTTTGTCATTAGTTGTTTGATCTTGATGGTTTCATGGGAACTGAAACAGGAAGCTTGGAACAAGTTCAACAAGGAAGAACTTGCTTAAGATACTGAAAGGTTACTCATTGGAAGAGCCAAACCACTTCTGTTGCGCAGTTGAGCAGATTTCACATAGATCACAAGATGCAGGTTTTGCACTGGAAGAGTTAATCACACATATTTGCAAACTTTAAAGCAAGACTAGCTCAATGACCCATTATCCACAATGAAACTTTCTGTCTAAAGGTGTGAGCAATTATAAGGACCACATTTTGTGTAAATTAAGGTTCCGTGCGAACAGGTGCATTCCACAGGGTTTATTGAACCTACCTTACACGGTATTTCTGCAATGTCAATCATAGCAAAGATTTTTTCCTTTTGTGTTTTTTTTTTTTTTTTACAAGAGTAATGGTTAGAAAGTTAG